AAAAATAAATGTTCTGGTGACTCAATGATTTCTGTCCATATGGCATTTATAGAGAAGTAAAGAAAAGGCAAATAGTTACACATCTGTATTGGGGAAAAATGTCCAGTATAAAACTGGCCATTGTGACAGCACTAGAAAGCTCTCAGCTGAGAATACCTGAAAAAAAGTAACACACAGAAGGGGAAGCAAGGTTCCAGCATTCTGGCTCTTATATATGTTTAGAGTTTTGAGCAATGAGCATTGTGCAGATATAAATGTTTTTATAAAAAGATTACTTTAAGGTTGGAGGTATTCTACTTGCTGATAATAGGTCCAGGTTTATAGGTGGGCGTGTAGTACAGCTGCACGCAGAGTGACACAGGAGTGCAATTAGAAAAAAAAAAAAAATCTTCAAAAATAAATGTGACTATCTAGTGAAACTATTAAAATGAATATTGACTCCAAGCCTATTTGTTTATTTGCTGAAAGGCATATGAAAAAGCCTCTTTGTATAAGTGCTAAACACAGGAAAACCACTGAGAATCAGTTAAGCCTTTAAAATAATAAGCTGGGAATTCCATTCATTATTATAGCAAAGGGCATCATAACTTTATGGTAAGTAGGGAAGGCTGGGAGAGAGGTGAGACTGTGGGGGTGGGAACTAGAGAAAGAAAACCCAGAAAGATCCAGAATCAAACATGGCCTCTGTTATTTGAATTTGTTGTTCATTTTCAATGGAGTGATAACTGGAACAGTTTAGCCTGAACTGCCTGGCTTGACACTCCCCGTTCTAAGGAACTTGGATGTGTTTCACAGCTTACAGCTGGACAACAGGGTACAGGGAAAAAAAAGTCACAAGGATGGGTCACATTCTCTTTGCACAGTTAGGACTTGAATCTTATATATAATAAGATATATGGACAAAGAAAAAAGACATGAACACATAGGCACATATATATATATCTACACACAGATGGTCATGTGTGTATAAATCCAGCTTCACATGGGATTTTTCCTCATTTTGCCATTAGGCTCAGTTCAGAGATCTATCTTCTGTCTTTCCATAGACACAAGAAGTTACCTTCTGGATTTTTTTTCCTTTTTCTTACCCCAGCTGCCTATTTATTCAGTGATGTCTGAGACCTCTTTTTGTTAATCTTATTACAACTACAACTATAGGCTTTGAAGGAGATGAGAAGTGACCCATTGAATTTGGGAAATGGTGTTCCCTGTGAAAGTAGGGAATAGGTAATGAACTCCTTATCTTATCTTTTAGATCAGTAATAACTTCAGTGAGACCACTTGGTCAACACTGTACATCTCACTACACAGCCACGTCTCATCAAAGCAGTGACAAAATGCATTCTACCCAGTATTTGCAACTGGCTATTATGGATGGCAGAGCCGAGTACAGTGCAGAGCCCATGGGGAGAAGCAGCTCCTGAGGGTAAAACAGCAGTACATGGAAACCTCAAAGGAAATTTAAGAAGGGATGGTGTGAGTGTGCGCGTGTATGCATTTAAGTCTGAAGGCAGAAAACTATGAGGGCTATGTGGAACATTTCCTGGAGCTTACCACTAATAAATATGGCAGGATTGTCAGCCCTGCAGTGTCCATACCTTCTTTCTGGGCCTCTGCCAGTGTCCCTGTGCCCGTCAGGCAGTGCATCCTGACCAAAGGGCGGGAGCTCCTCTCTGCATCCTCCTGCGGGTATTTTGGCCCTCCCCTGCCCCACATTCTCTCCAGCTGAGGAAGGACTTTTCAGTATTCCTGTACATTGCCCCCCCCCGAGGTTTGGTTGTCATAATGCTGGAGGAACTCCCTTTCTGCTGTTCCATTTTGTGCTTGTTGCTTCAGGTTGTGAAAGGCAGGGATTATAAACTAACTTAATAATTTGATTTATTCGTACATTTGTTTATTTTGGGTGAACTAACAGTAAACCACCAACTGTTATATCCCACAATTTATTAAAATGGTGTATATATAGCACAACTGCAAATAACAACCAATTTCTTTGTTTCCCTACTCTATCATGATTTTATTGTAAAATATTTTTTATTTTTCAAAATTTGGCTCATCCCACACACAGAAAATCCCCTCTGCCACCAAAACACTTGGCATATTATAGGCTACATCTTAAAACCTTTATAGTCAGCTGGCATCTCTTAATTTGCTTCATCTAGACATACATCAGTCTCTCTCTGTCTTCAGCATGACTGAAATGCAACCTCTTCTGGAGCAGGTTGGCAGCAGTGATGCTACAGACATCATTCCAGTGGAATGTGTAGCAGCAGCACCACTACCTGTAAGGACCTACATGACCTGGAGGACAGATGGAACTTCAACACTTCCTTCCAAGCTATTCCAAAATTTCTTCAGTGTGAATGTGTCTCTCTTGGAAGCATAAAAGATTTAGTTCTCTTGCTCCAGGCAGGACTTTTAAACCTAATACTTATATAAGTAAACTGTCCCCTTTAGTTTTCACATTAACTTATAATGCCACAGTGGTAAGCTTATTGGT